CAAACACATTTCGGAGACTCTGAGAGCCAGTTGCTGCCATGCCCCTTTACTTCTAAATATTTCAGTGTGTTTTTCCTAAAACTAAGTCCATTCTCTTACAGAATCACGGTATAATTTTCAAACCCACAAAATTCACATTGCCACAGTACTATCATAATTTATAGACCTTATTCAAATTTCACAAGTGGTTTCAGTACATTTTTTTTAGCAAAAGAAAAAGGGCACAGCATAAAACATAGCATTTAATTGTCCCATATCTTTATGTTACCAGAAAGGGATCACAATCCAGAGCAGCGGCAATGGCTGCTTGACTGAATATACATATAGTTATTTCTTGATCATATGCTAAATAAGGGGTGGATTATTCATGAGTTTTCTGGGAAAGGGGTGGAGAGTTCTCAGAACTGAGGGCCCCTTCCCTTTTTAGACTACATATAGTAACTTCAGACATTTCTGTGGCACTCGTAAACTGTCATGGCACTGGTGGGAGTGTCTTTTAGCATGCTAATGCATTATAATTAGCATAAAATGAGCAGTGAGGCCAACCAGAGGTCACTTTCATTGCCATCTTGGTTTTGGTGGGTTTTGGCCAGCTTCTTTACTGCATCCTGTTTTATCAGCAAGGACTTTGTGACCTGTCTTGTGTCTTGTGCTGACCTCCTATCTCATCCTGTGGCTAAGAATGCCTGACCTCCTGGGAATGCAGCCCAGCGGGTCTCAGCTTTATTTTATACCCAATCCCTATTTAAGATGGAGGTACTCTGGTTTGAATGCCTCTGACATTTGGTCTCCTTCAATCTGGAATCATTCCTCAGTCACATTGCCTTTCATGACCTTGCCATTTCTTGCCAGGTACAGGACAGTTCTCTGTAGAATATCCCTTAGCCTGGTGTTTTACCCTGTTTCCTTATGATCAAATCTTTTTAGGTTGTGCATTTAGGGCAGGAATACTGGAAGAGCTGCTGGGTTCTCAGAGCTTCCCATCAGAGGCCCTAAGGCTCACTTTGCCCAGGACTGAGGATGTTTACCTCTGTCACTTGGTCAGGTGTTGCTTTCATGTTTATCCCCTTGAAGGTACCGTTTTCCCCTTTGTAATTAATAAATATCATGTGAAGAGACACTTTGGAAAGATTTAAATAGCCTGTTTCTCATCACATTTTCACCCACTAGTTTTAGGATTCTTGCCTGAAATGTTTATTGCTGTAGAGGTTGCCAAATGGCGATTTTTCTCATTTTGTTTTTCCTACTATGTTTATTAGTTGAAATTCAACACCATTGGTTTTCTAACAACATTCCAGAAAGATTTCATCTGTTAAGGAGAAAATATCTGGGCTAAACTAAATCCATAAGAAATAAAAACCTCTCTTCTCTCCTCTCCCTAACCCCAGAGCCCAGGTATTCAGCTAAATAGCTTACCTATCCATATTTAATACCGTGGAAATATGCAGAGCTGTTGGAAATTGTTTCCAAGGCCATTTTCTATTTTAAGTGACAAAATTCCTAATCCTCTCTTAGATCCTTCTCTCCTCAGGTTTACCCCACACATTTTCTCCTGAAGTCTTGGTCTCATTCTGCTTTTCCTGGCCTTCTCCTTAATACACACACACCCCTTGGAACCTGGCTCTTAAAGCTGCAGAAGGAAAAACTCTCTTCTGAACATCAAAGAGTCTATTCACCTGCAAACTTCTTTCAGGGCATGGCTGGCAAGTGCACATTCCACAGGCACCTTACTCCCTTTTATTTCTAGGTCAGCACTTTCAGTAACACCCTATCCAGTCTTAAAGTCCAGACACTCAAGATGCATCTAGTTAAATCCTCTCTGTCACTCTCCAGGGTAAAATTAGGCAATTAGTTATTCACACTTAATTTCATACTCTTGAAATGCCTTTTCAAAAATAGAACCTATGACAGACCTCTCCTCCACTAGGTTCCTGAAATACAAAGCTATGTCTAGGACTCTTCCCCAGTCTCTTCCCTCAGAACATTTCTGACTTTCATCTCAATTGTCTGTGAGCACCATTCCTTTCCTGGGCCAACCACTCTCTGCACCGCGGACATCAGAAGATCCTTAGATTATTCTAACAACTTCTCATATATTTTTCAGGGAAGCTAATTTTCACTTATACCAAAGGACAAGATTGACCAGCTTCCAAGAAAATCTTTCCTCCTGGTTAATAGACAATGTTACTTTTCATCTTAGGGAATTGGATCTTTTTTGCTTTATAATACGATGCCTCTCTCAAGTAGACTAAAAAGCATCCTCTGGTCCAAAATTCATGGCACAGTCACCTGTTTCTGGGAGGGGAAATGCATTTATGACTAACCATAAATCTTAAGCTAGGAATTGAAATGCTAGGGCTGCCAAATAAAGCAGACTTTCTTTCCCAGGAACTGCTGAGGAACTGAGTCACTCATTAGTACCAGAAATTGCTATTTTTGGAGAAACTCCAGTTTCTCCTGAGTAACCTTGTTTCTCTATAAGGTAATGTTTAGAGATATTTTTCTTTCTTCTCCCAGCTTAAAATCCTCCAAAGACAGCATTTCCTTGCCTCAACCTTGAATGGGCTAAGAAAGAAAAAAGTCCTCACCAACAGTTTTTTGCTACTTTGGGACAGGGAGCTTATCTTCCATGGAAACTCACCAGACCAAAAGCCTTTCTAGAACTCGAGTTCAAGATATAGCCTCTGTATCAGCATTGAGCCACAGCAACATATATTCACAGACCCAAACTTCTGTTAGTTACTCTTGAAATGCCTTTTACAAAATAGAACCTATAACAGACCTCTGGAAATATAGCATTTCCAGATATTGATTGATGAGGTGGACTCAACTGCTCTGTAACTTACATGATAGTTTATCCTAGGCATATTTGAACTGGACATAGAATACCTTGGCAAAACACACCTGTAAACTCAGAGTATTATAATAGCTAGCAGGTCAGAAAAAGAAGTGACCCATAGGAACTAAGGGCTGAATATTTTATCTGTAGCCTTCCCTTCTGTGATTAAAGTTTGGTACATAAAGGGAAAGAATCAAGCATTTATCCTGTCTTTCCTGTACCTCACTACAACCAAATAGCAGACAAAGGAAAGTTCTTTCTTATAAAAGACTTCCAGATAATAAAGAAGAAATGATAAAAGAGTATCAGTGTTTTGCCACTGCAACAATAATGGATTTAGGCAATGGTATCAATGACTCTTTAAATCTATTAGGTGACAGGCTAATGGGGAACCTTAAAATAGAAGGACTAACCTGCCAACATTTGAATCTGCCTGTCAATCTTAACATATCCAAGAGAGAGGCAACCTATTATTTTGCTTTGCAATGAGAAGCAAGAGAAAATATAAAATACAACCTGTACAATATTCTTATCCAAAAGCTGAATCTGATTCCTATTAAGTCTCTAGATTTAACTACCAGTACATAGGAAATACAGAGGTGAGAGGAAATGCGAAACAACATCCCAGGAATGCAGTCAGCAAAATCCAGAATGTGGAAAACTCTCAAGACAGACAGCCCAATTTCTTCAATAAACAAATTGCAGAAAAAAATCAGAGGAACCCATAGATGAAAGACACCTATGAGAAGCATCAAACAAATGTGATGTGGACTTAAGATCCTGACTCAACAGTGCAACTGGTGAAAAAAAAAAAAGACATGTACTAGATTACCAGATACATTTGAACATTTGGATATTTGAAAATACTAAGTTATTATTTGTAATATTTTGATGTGATCGTGGTATTATGGTTATGTTTTTAAGAGTCATCATTAACCAATACTTACTAAAGCATTTACAGATGTGTCTTAGTTCATTTCCATTGCTTATAACAAAATATCTGAAACTGGGTAATTTATAAAGAAAAAGAATTTATTAGTTATGGAGGCTGAGAGGTTTAATGTTGAGGGCCCACATCTGGTGAGAGCCTTCTTGCTGGTGGGGACTCTGCAGAGTTCCAAGGAAGTGCAGGGCATCACATGATGAGGGAGCTGAGTGTGCTAGCTCAGGTCTTTCTTCCTCTTCTTATAAAGCCACCAGTCCGACTTACATGACAATCCATTAACCCATTAACCCATTAATCTATGAACGGGTTAATCCATTCATGAGAGCAGAGCCTTCATGACCAATCACCTCTTACAGGCCCACCTCTCAATATTGCCACAATGGGGACTAAGTTTCAACATGAGTTTTGGAGGGGACCAACATTCAGACATTTCATAGTAAGATGAAATTATATGATGTCTGTGATTTGATTAAAAATAATCTATGGGACAGAAAAGTGGGTAGGAGTATATATGCAACAAGACTGGTTCTGAGTTGATTATTGTTGAAGCTTCTGGAAAGTTAAGTAGAAGTTTCTTATAAACTTTCTATAATATTATACAAATACCTTAGACATTAGTTGTCTTAAAATCAACGTGCTTTTCTTTCTCTGGTGAATAGATCATTTTTATAATAGAATCCCCTAGGTTGGAAAAATAAGTTACTACATTTTTAATGTTCCTGCATTTAGATGGGTATGTGCAATAATTTGAGCATGAGTAAAGTGAACGCTCAAAGGACACGTATCGCTTCCAGTTAGGATATATATCAATCCTTGTATCACCCCTGAAACCAGGGGCTAATTTATCTTACTGTTTGGTCAGGTCAGTGAAGGGCTGATATTATATCAGCACATAGACCGTGAGAACACTGGCTGGACTGTGGAAGACTCCTTTACATTCTCGGCCTCCTCCCCACCAGCAGCCCTGGGACCTGAGGAGTTCTGTATTACTATTTCATATGATATCACTAAGCCTGGTAAGCAGAGTTGTCTGCTTGCAAACACAGGTAATGCCGCCAAGATATGAGCAGTGCCTCATCTATAATTATTAAAGTAGGGAGAGTTTGTAAATAAATCTTTCCCCTTTTAATTGTCAATGCCATGATATAAACCTTTGAAATAAAGCTTAAAGAGTTATAAAACGTTATTATTTCTTTACATGCCCTCTTTCTCCAGGTCTCTTCTATTTTATCTCAGAAGCTTAAATAGTTGTACTGGGAGAAGGATGGCAACTTAGCTTTAAAGAATTTTATCTGCACCTCCAACTGAAGGCCTCACTGTGCCCATGACAGGAAACTGTTCATAGAAAATTAAAATGACAAATAGGGTAAGTTCTTAAAAGGAAAGGGGTATTGAAAACTGCACGTTTCCATGGCAAGAGAAAGTCCAGTAGTAGATAAGTTAGGAAATTAACGTTTTATAAATGAATATAAAGATTTTAAAGCTCAGTTGCCTGAAATGTTGACTTAATTGTGTGTGAGTGTGTGTATTTAAAATGTATTTATTTAATATGCCTTGAGTAGCAATGCTAATTCAAGTACTTGAGCAACCAAAGTGTTACAAATAATCCACTAGACAAATTTGAGGAAAAAAGAGCTTTACAGCTGTCATCTAAAAGTTCTAATGAAATGCCAATTTATTCTTTATTTTTTAACAGGAGCTTTTGTCAAGGAGGGAGACAAGGTTCTAATTGACCAATTTAAGTTAGATGCCTCCAACCTCTTATTCAAATTGCCTGAATCTCAGCGCTCTTCCTACGAAATTTGGTTCCAAGCGACATCTCTTCCTTACCACGGAACAATTATGGTTGGAGAAAGAAATATTACCAAAGGAAAACCCAGTTCGTCTCAGTATATAATTAATAAATTTGGAATTACATACATTCATGATGACTCTGAATCACTGGCTGATAATTTTACCTTTGTGGTTTGGCCAAACCAAAAGAGCAAGTTCAATACCAAGCCGGAAGCTGACTTTGTTGAAGAAATGTTTAATATCACCATCTCTCCAGGTGATATTATTATAATGACCAGGCACCCGAATTAAAGACAAAGGGGCTTTGGTTGAAAGTTCTGCAGGGCAGTAGGTTGCCTGTGGGACCTGAACATCTGAAAGTGGAAGATCTGGACAGTCCTCCAGATGAAATCAGATCTATGATCATCTGTAATCCTAATAATGGCTTTTTGGCAATGGCTTACCTTCTGGACACACCTGTTCGCCATTTTGCATAAGCTGACATTGATAACTCTAAGGTGTGGTTCACACAGGATGGAAGCCCTTCCTCTGGAGTGTTCTACTTTAGTGTGGCAGATGGTGCACACCGTCCCTATATAAGCTCTTGACCTGGATGTCATTCCCGTCTGCATCAGCATTGTGAACCTTACTGACCTACTTCTCCCACAAGGCCAGACAACCATCACCATCACCAATGCTCACCTGTCAGCCACGACCAGTGGGAGGAGCCCCCAAATCTCTTACAAGATAACATGGCCCCTCCAACATGGGCACCTGCTGATTGAAGACCAGGTGGCCGGCAATTTTGGACAGGAAGATTTGGATTCAGGAAGACTCTCTTATCACATGACAAATCTCACTGCCACACAGGACCAGCTACAGTTCTCACTGTTTACATCAGAAAGCAACCTGACAGGACAAACACTGAACATCAGAGAGCAGCCTTTACTGCAGGTTATGTCAGGCCTGAAAATTGCTGACGAAGTGGCTCATCAGCTGAGAAGAAGGGACCTAGATGCTACCGAGCTTGCTAATATGACTAACAGTGATCCCAAATTTGAAGTGATAGAGCCCCCTGTACATAGAAGACTGGGACGAAGAGGGGTTCGCAGCAGTGTGATGGAAGAGGCTACTGTATTCACTCAGAGGGACATTGACCAAGGGCAGCTGGTATTCCACCAACAGGCGTGGGGATGCTGAACGACTCCTTCACTTTCTTGCTCAGGGTAGATCATGTACAGTCAGTGATAGGTTATCTCCCCTTCACCATAGTGCCACCTGACCCCTCACTTTTGCAAACATTTACACCAGATGTTCCTTTATTTGTCACTGGAGACAACCTTGTAACCTCAGTTCTCTCTCAGGAGAAGCCTGTGTTTTCCTCAGGACTCACGGCACAGACAGAAACTTTAGTGAAACTGACCCAGACCAGATGGCAGAAAGCAGATCCCTGGGGACAGCACAGTGGTGAAGAGCTCAGTGTGGATGGAGAGTCTCTGCCATCAAGGTCATTTGGCCACCAGCCACCACTAATAGTCAGCCGTTGGGCACCCACGCAGCCCAGAGAAAGCAGGTACCCTCTGATGGTCATCGTACCCTTGGCTGCCATGGTCTTCCTGCTGATAGTGGCTGCAGTGGTTTTGTCTGTCTGGCTGTTGAGCCACAGGTAGAAAAGGCAAAACCCCTTATCAAGCCCCAGACCAGCCTGGAACACACAACCGCAAGTCATAGGCCAGAAAGGAGCATAACGGTTCCCACTGTCACAGTGACACCCCTTCTACAAAGCTCCAGCAGCCCGCCAGTCTGTCTTTTCAGGGCCCCGCGGTGTGAACAAATGTATTCTCCAGTGGCTGAGCCAGTGGACAAATGTGCTGCTTGGGAGACGTGAATGAACCTGGACCCCGACATGGTCAAACTCTGCCAACAAACCAACCCAACGCTGAAGCACAACCAGTACTGGGTGTAGATTGAGGGCTCACATTTCTTACTGACTACCTACCGTGTTCCAGGCACTGGGATAGGCATTGGGATATAAAGCAAATAAATGCTGATTGGATCAACTGAGAAAAGCCAGGCCCTGCTAGTGATTCAATGTTCAATCCTAGCTCCATGGTTAGATGTTTGCTGGCTTGTTGATTGTGACTTGTACAACACTCATGGGCTTTCCACAACGGGCTCTTTGTGTCATCTTCTGGACCTGATTTTCTCAGTATCCATCAGTTGGTCAATATTTAAACCCTTTACTAAGGTGGTACACAACGTGTTAGCTCCACTGAGAATGCCAGTATTAACTTGGGGCATAGAGTTAAAGGAGGAAAGCTTTGAATACTTTACACTGATAATTCCCTCTGAGTGAGTCAGCAGGAAGTGCAAGAACTATTTCAGCATGTAGAAGAAGTAATTTATCACATCAATGAGTATGTTTACGTAATGTTTTTCTGTAATGTCTTTTCCTCCTTGGAGTCTCTAGGTTTGATTTCCTAGTGCAGGAAATGCCTCAGTGCTCTAGGTAGTGCTGGGACAGTCTGGCCCCTTTTGAAATTATCTACTGAATACATTGTGTTTCATCAGGAGGCTTTGTCTATTCTAATTTATAAAATCAAGCCTAGAATAGAAATATTGTTTGAAGCCTTATGGGACAGAAAAGTTTGTTGAATATTTTTGTGATGCCTCAATTTGGCTTAACTTTACAATGAATTAAAATAATGGTCCAGGCCCAGTGGCTCATGCCTATAATCTCATCACTTTGGGAGGCCAAGGCGGGCAGATCGCTTAAACCCAGGAGTTTCAGACCAGCCTGGGCAACATGGTGAAACTCTATCTCTACAAAATAAGCAAGCAAACAAGCAAACAAAAAAATTAGCCAGGCATGGGGGCATGTGCCTGTAGTCCCAGCTACTCTGGAAGCTGAGGTGGATGGATCACTTGAGCCTGGGAAATTTGGGCTGAAGTGAGCTGCGATATATGATACTGTCTCAAAAAGAAAATAAATAAATAATGTAGGCAGGGCGCGGTGGCTCACGCCTGTAATTCCAGCACTTTGTGGGGGCGAGGTGGACGGATCACAAGGTCAGGAGATCGAGACCATCCTGGCTAACATGGTGAAACCCCGTCTCTACTAAAAATACAAAAAATTAGCTGGGCATGGTGGCCGGCACCTGTAGTCCCAGCTACAAGCAGGAGGCTGAGGCAGGAGAATGGCGTGAACCCAGGCGGCGGGGCTTGCAGTGAGCCCAGATCGCACCACTGCACTCCAGCCTGGGCCACGGAGCAAGACTCCATCTCAAACAAACAAACAAAAAAGTAATAATAACAAATTTGTATTTGCATTGTCTAATTGAACCTACCATTAGCCAACTGAAGCTTCAGTTTCTGTAACTGTAAAATGAAGATACTAGTACTTGTATTAGGAATGCTTTGGGCTGCAAAGTTGCAAGACATCTTCTATCAGTGGTTTAGGTTGGAGACTGGCAAGCTTTTTCTGTAAAGAGTCACGTAGTAAATATTTTAGGCTTTGTAGGCCATATATATATGTGTGTGTGTATATATATATATATATACACACATACACACATATATATATATTCTCTCACACATTCTTCTTGCTTTGTTTCTTTTTAACAACCTTTTAAAAATGTAAAAGTAATTCTTAGTTATTGGATTTGGCCCACATACCATAGTTTGCCAATCACTGTTGTAGGTAATAGATGTGCTGAATTATCTCAAGTAATGAACATGCTAGGGGTGGGCATTCTAAGACTGGTTTGGTAGTTCAAGAATGGCACCAAGGACTGAACTCTTCTGTGACTTCTGCTCTACCTTCCTTAGGCTGTTGACATTTCATTCTTTTATTTAATTTCTTGCAATTGTAAGATGTTTGCTGAGGAAGATTTTGATCTTTCAAATCAGCGTTTTATATCTCCTTTTCAAGTTTAATGATTCTTCTTGAAGCCAGAGGCCAGTTTTTCTCAATAGAGGTGGGAAGGCTGTGATGGGAGTGTGTGTAAGGGGAGACATGCCACCCAGAGGACATTTGGCAATGGCTAGGGACATTTGTGGTTTTCAAAGCTGATGGGGGAAGGATACTTCTTGCATCTAGTGGGTGGAAGCCAAGGAGGCTGCCGAACATACAAAAATGCACAGAACAGCTCTCACAACAAAGAATTATCAGCTTGAAAATGCCAACAGTGCAGAGATTGAGAAACCCTGTTTAAGTCACAATGAAGAGTTTTCCTGTATACCCAATGAAGGATATACTTATTACCAAGTCTAGCAAAAAGTGTATTCTAAAAACTTCATGATAGAGTGGAAATCTCACAGTATATTTGAAACTCTGATTGGCTAGTGGTGTACATGAACATTTAAAAAAGAGGATGTATTAAAAACCAAGCAAAACTTGGCAGCAAGCTCATTTCTTCATATTACTTGTCTAAGGAAAATATTTTGCCTTGTGTTAACAGGTGGAACACATCAGGAGAGTAAAAATGAGACAGAAAATTCACAAAGGTAAAGATGAGGTCAAAGTGTCCCCAAAAGTCTGATGCCTCTAATATGTTTCATATGGAAAAGGTTTTGTTCTCACTCCATCTCTTTTCTGTTCTTCTGAGTCGCACTTTCCTCCCAACTCAATTTTAACTGCTCTTTAGGAAAACACACTTCACAATCTACAGAATAAATGAAATCATAGCATGTTTGGGCCTAGAGATGACTACCCATGCCTTAGATACTTGGATGTAATGTCATGGACAACTGTTGCTGAAGAACATTTCTCTACTCTTCTTCCAAAAGTGTTTTTATCCAGTGTGTCTGTACTTCCAAATTGTGTAGTCCTTTTCAAGTGTTTTGTTTAAAAGGAGGAGGAATGAGAGGCTTAACCCAAGCTTGGCTTGGTCATTATACAACTCAGAATCATTCTTAGGCCTGTTTTAATCCAGGCACTTAGAAGGAGTAGGATGGCAGTGTGTACCTGAATCTGCACATGCAAGGGAGGCCGAGGAGCATCTCTGAATCCAGTAAGTGGGTTTTGTTCCCCATCGGCTGGGCAGGGAGAATGCCTGCTCTTTGTGGACAAGCCAGACATACTTGATTCAGTGAGCATGTGGGCCTCTTCCTTACTTCAGCCACGATGTCTCTGGAGCTAGGATTACCAGCCTGGTGAAACAAAACAGTCTGGCTTCCTCTCCTCTTTTTCCTCTTAATTTTGCAACTGCACACATAAAATTGGCGTCCATATTGGAAGGAGATACACACAGATATTTAAAAATAATAATCCATGTTATTGTTTGTGAGTATGCCTGCTGGAGCCAGAATATCAGTGTGAGATCCAGATGTCAAACCTCAGTGATTAATCAGGTAATTAACAGAGTTTGGAAAGTTTTCTTCTAGAGGCTCTGGAATATTCTACTGATTTACAGATGGGTTCAATTAAAAGGAAATAATGCTTACCATTTGGTGCTGGCTCAAAGTGTGAAAGAAATATTTTTGGCAAAACTTCATTTAACATTGAAAATTGAAGTTTTAGAAAATTGAAAAATCAGACCGAAATGGCTTCTCCCATATGCAGAGGCATAACGGAATAGTTTCGACTCTTTATCATAATGGAGTCACTGCTAAGAAATGACTGGTGAATAAATAAGTGTATAGCAGAGATTAATATCAGAAGACTGGCAGGATTTTGCTTAAGAGAGGGTATACTCTGGGCTAGGCTGGGAATGGACAGTCTCTCTCTCTTTTTTTTTTTAACCTCCTGCAAACATTTTTTTCGTATTAAGAGGTCTTGGCAGATTCCAACCTTTAGTGGTCCCTTCTCAAACATCTAGTACCTTTCCTTATAGTCCTGCATTAATTAGGTGAGGTGAGGGTGAAACAGAAGCTGGCTTTACTCTCTGGTTCTTCAGATTTCTGGAGCTGAAGTGGACACATTTGGAGTGTAGATGGAAGGTGATGGTACATATCAGGTGATGGTACATATCAGGTGATGGATCCTGAATTTTAGATGGGACTGAGCTATCCACTCCTGCATCTTTCAGAGACATCATAATTAATAATGAAGTTAGCCCTGCGTGAGGAGAGGCACGAGGATGAGAGTGGGCTGGGAGCCCACTGTTTGGCCTGCTGAATGATGGATCTTTTGCTTATGATACACAAAAACACCATTGACTATTTCATAGAGACCAGGATGAGGCTGCCTTCTCATAGAGATCTACAAACATTTATTAGGCACCTCATGTATGTGAAATGCTAGATCCTCTGCTTGGTCTGAAGATGCAAGATGCTATCTTGCAAGGGTCTTTTTGGTCTGCTTCTTCTGGTACACCCTTCTAGAGTGACACAAAAAGTGCCAGGACAGATGAGGGTATGGGAAAAAGAGGACAAAGACAGGCAGAGCTTAGGACAGGGCTTTGTGTTTTCACTTGGAATGCTCATGAGTGAGTGTTGCCCATCCCGAGGGGAGGCAAGAGTTGGAGCACAATGGCCCACTGTGGTGTGTCCCCCACCCTCCATGTTTCTCAGCCCAGCTTTGCACTCCCTGTCCCTTGGTGTGCCCCAGGCCTAGTGACGTTCCAGAGTGGTTAAATAATCGACTCTTGGTCTGTTTTGGATCCTGGCCCTCTATTTCCTAGCAATGTGACTTATTCAATTTCTCTGAACTTAGTTTCATCAGCCAAAAACATGGGGATAATGATATTAGTACCTACCTCTCTGGGTTTTGTTAGAATTTAGTGACATAATCACCTGAAGTTAGTAGAATAATAATAATCATGCAGTATTTTCAATGCATCAGGCACTATACTAACTACTATAAAAGAATTTTCCTAGGGTTTTAATGCGCTGTAAAAGAACGAATCTATGAAGTCTCTGAATAAACCAGAGGCTCATATTCTACGCAAAGTAGTATATTACTGGTAGTGGAATTTCAGGTGAACGATTTAGGATAGATGAGGTGTGTTTAGGAAGGGAACTTCCCAAATGCTCAAACTCTACCTGGCATGCAGGGCCGTTTCCTTGGAGACTGGTAAGAAAATGGATGGAGGAAACAGCATGACAGGAACATTTACAAGGGGCAGACTCAAGCTGAGAGAGATTGAGAGTTCTTTACCTTGCAGAGGGGGTTGAACCACTGATAAAATACCCTGCCCTATTCGCTTCCTGTTCAAGCAGGTATCACATCTGCACAACCCTGTCCTGGATGGGAAACCGTTACCTGCTCTTCCCTCCTCCCAACCTGGTTGTTCTCAGGCTTTCGTCAATTGATAATTTCTTTTTTAATTCCAGAATTAACAAACGACTGTTACTTAAAAAAATTAATATCCCTAGCAAAATTTAAAGTATCCAACTATCACCATAAGTCCATGTTTAAAGTAAGGGCAGAATCTTAGAACAAAGAACTTTATGGTGGGAAGAACAGATTTTTATGAAAAATTCTCTTTGTCCAGATTTGACTTTGGCCTGGGAAAACCTCAGGACACACCAGCAGGGTCAGGAATTCACCTCTGGAGGCCATGCTTATGGGTGCTTTGATTAGAGCAGAGGCAGAAGCTGGGGCAGAGGGGAACTCAGGCTCCTCAATGTTGGTGCTCTTTAGAAGGTGTGGCCAGGTGTCCCTGGTACATGTGTACATATGCGGTAGGGGAGGAGTGGCAGTGGGAGTGAGGGGCAAATTTGCTACTTAAGAGTCCAGAGAATAGCAGTTCCATGGATGTGCAACCTGTGCAGCCATAG